ATGAAAAGAATTTGTACTATTCAATGTTCCGTATTTTATCATGCTAATGGAAATTTTTAGTTTTTTTTCTATTAAATTTTATTACAAAGACATCGTTTCTCACAATAAAGGAGAAAACAATTTACAACACAACCATCACAATCATCCATAATAGTCTTTGCTCACAATAATCCTCTCACGATAATACACACCTCAGAGAAACAAGAAAGAACCGGCGATTGATGCAACACCACCAACGACGGCAGAGAGGCCAAGACCAGCCGCGCCATTGTCGGCAACATCAGTAGAAGGTGAAGGTCCATTGCTACCGTAGGAGGAGTCACTTCCTAGAGGACCAGCCACAGCTACATCACCATCATCACCTGGAGAAGCAGCTGCATCGTCACCGGTAGTTCCAATGGTGTCCTCGCTCACTGGAGCTTCGACCACAGTCACGGAAGCAGCCGGAGCTTTGGAGGGTGACGCTGAAGGAGACGGAGAGGAGGCAGCTGCGGCGAGGCCAAGGACGGCCAAGAACACGAGGCCAAAAACTACGACAGCGCTTTGGCGACCCATTCTTTCTCTCTGTCTCCTTGTACGTCTCTCTTTTAGTTTTATTTTAGGGTTTGAGGTATAGAGATTGTGATGATTGGAGAGGAGATGGGTTCGATGTGTATATATAGTTGTCTTGTGTGACTAAAACAAAACAAAAAAATAGAAAACTTGTGTACTACGAAAGAGGAATACCGTTCAAGCCAATGTAGATCGTCTAAAAATGGGGTTTGCTAAGATATAGATTTTTTTAATGGTAACAAGCAAATTAGGAAAAAAGAGGGGTTAACATACCAATGGATTGATTGAATACGAATATTGCATTTTTGTTTTCATTGGTTGATGAACCGAATGAAATGAAAGTATACAGTATATGAATACTATCATTAAACTTTTAATAGAAACCTGATAGACCACAACGAATGCATACAAATACAATACCTTTCTAGCTGAAATCGGGTTAATGAAATGAATATTTTGTTATCAAACAAAAATAAGTTGATAAAATATCCGTAACTCGTCCTTAATTAGTACACATCTGAATGTGAAACTTAAAAATTGTAATACTCCATATTTGAGGAGTAAGAACTGTGTATCTTACTAAAAATGAATTAACCATTCATTCACCAAAACATATTTTGATTTTTGGGAACTCTGATAAAAGAACTTACCACTCATAAAGTTTTACTACTAAACTAGTAGGTAATCTCAATCTCCTTTACCATAAAGTACAAGCTTGAGAAATACAAACGGTTTCCCATATCAAAATGGATATATGGGCCTTAAACCAACGGCCCAAACACTTTCCTCAGGCCCTTGAATCAGTTTACGATTTACGATTATACCCATCATGTTAGGGTTTTAACACTCAACTTCTCTCCCTCTCAAATCTTCTCGACACTCTCTCCTTCTCATTTCTTCCGCAAGATCTGTATCACTCCGATCGGATCTAAAAAAACCTTAAACCCCAAAAAATGGCGCTGGCGTTCGACGAGTACGGACGTCCGTTCATCATCCTTAGAGAACAGGATCAAAAGACGCGTCTCCGAGGCATCGATGCTCAAAAAGCCAATATCGCCGCCGGCAAAGCTGTCGCTCGGATCCTCCGTTCCTCTCTCGGACCCAAGGGAATGGATAAGATGCTCCAAGGACCTGACGGTGACGTCACCATCAGTTTCGTTTCCTAACCTTTTTTCGAATCTCACAAGCTTCAATACTCTCTCTGCTTGATTAGGGTTTACTGTTTAGATTAACGGATCCATCTAGCTTAGTTTATTCAATCATTATCTGCTTTTAATTTTTGAAAAATAAATCCATCGATCCTTTATTGTCTGCGTTACTATTCAAAAATTCGATTTTTGAAAACATCGATTTACTTCTTTTGTCAAGCTTTGTTTACAACGTCGTCGTTTTGTATGGAGGTTAGCTACTATTTAAAAATCGATCCTTATTGTATGGACTATTTAAAAATCGATCCTTTTATTGTCTGGAGCTTAGCTTAAAAATCGATCCTTTTATTGTCTGGAGCTTAGCTTAAAAATCGATCCTTTAGTGTCTGCAGCTTAGCTACTATCTAAAAATCGATTCTTTTTTCGATCGAGTTTAGCTTATTTAGTTTATTTTTGCTAAGCTTTGCAATTTTGCTTAAACGTCGTCGTTTTTTTGTGTGTATGTAGCTAATGATGGTGCGACGATTTTGGAGCAAATGGATGTTGACAACCAGATTGCGAAGCTTATGGTGGAGCTGTCACGGAGTCAGGATTATGAGATTGGTGATGGAACAACGGGTGTTGTTGTCATGGCTGGCGCGCTTCTGGAGCAAGCTGAGCGTCAATTAGATAGAGGGATTCATCCTATACGTATCGCTGAAGGGTATGAGATGGCTTCAAGAGTGGCTGTTGAGCATTTGGAGCGTATTTCTCAGAAGTTTGAGTTTGATGTTAATAATTACGAGCCTTTGGTTCAGACATGCATGACTACTCTATCCTCGAAGATGTAAGAACCCTTTAATGTTTAATTTTGATTTTCTAGAATGTTGTCCTAACTTTATTTTTTGGTCGTTTATACAGTGTGAATCGATGCAAGCGGAGTTTAGCTGAGATTGCTGTGAAAGCAGTTCTTGCTGTTGCTGATTTAGAGAGGAGGGATGTTAACTTGGATCTGATCAAAGTAGAGGGTAAAGTCGGGGGGAACTTGGAGGACACTGAGCTTATTTATGGAATACTGGTTGACAAAGATATGAGCCATCCGCAAATGCCAAAGCAGATCGAAGATGCTCACATTGCCATCTTGACTTGCCCATTTGAGCCACCGAAGCCGAAGACTAAGCATAAGGTGGATATTGACACAGTGGAGAAGTTTGAAACATTGCGCAAGCAAGAGCAGCAGTATTTCGATGAAATGGTTCAAAAGTGCAAGGTATGTTTTTTTAAAAATTTTGGTTTTCCATTGTGATTTGAGTATTGATTATGGAGTGAGCTATTGGACAGGCTTTTCTTTTGACAATGAAGATCAGTAACCACAATGCAGTTTATCATCAAATTTATGTATGTTCCTTTTGCTTTGAAACTGCAGGATGTTGGTGCTACACTGGTTATTTGCCAATGGGGATTCGATGATGAGGCAAACCATCTATTGATGCACAGGAATTTGCCTGCTGTCAGATGGGTCGGGGGTGTTGAGTTAGAGCTTATCGCTATTGCCACAGGTATGACATTTCTCCATACATCTACTGTTCATAATTTAATCAGTTATGTAGAGCTGAGAATATACTTTTCTTTATGTAGGCGGCAGAATCGTTCCAAGATTCCAGGAGTTGACCCCAGAGAAGTTGGGGAAGGTACTATTTACTTTCTTGGTGTTATTTGTTTAAATTTATTTAAATCAGACTATTGAATCCCCAGACTATTCATGTTCTTTAGGCTGGCATGGTCCGTGAAAAATCGTTCGGAACAACAAAAGAACGTATGCTGTATATTGAGCACTGTGCGAACTCAAAAGCTGTTACTATTTTCATCCGTGGAGGTACTCATATACTAACTCTTTTTTATGTTGACAACGGTCTTTTAAATAGCTGATAACCTGTAAACATTGATTTACTGAGTCGAATAGCTTTCAATGTATATAATAAACGCATATATTGTACTGATTGATTAACTATTTGTTACGGGATATGGTTTTAGGTAACAAAATGATGATAGAAGAAACAAAGCGTAGTATCCACGATGCTCTGTGTGTGGCAAGGAATCTCATCCGCAACAAGTCAATCGTATATGGAGGTGGTGCAGCTGAAATAGCATGCTCACTTGCGGTTGATGCAGCTGCTGATAAATACCCTGGCGTTGAGCAGGTAAAGGACTATCTTTACTCTTGGCTTTTAATCCCAAGTGAAATAATTTATTTCACAAATCTTAACGCTGTATACATATTTACTTATATATATACTTCCGTCCATTATGCAGTATGCAATAAGGGCATTTGCAGAAGCTTTGGACTCTGTCCCTATGGCTCTTGCAGAGAACAGTGGGTTACAGCCCATTGAGACACTCTCTGCAGTTAAATCTCAGCAACTCAAGGTAAGTGATCTGGTTATTGATTTAGCCGTTGATTTGTTTGTTCGCTGACTGAAAAAAACATTGACATATGTGGTTTATGATGATGAACAGGAGAACATTCCTTTCTATGGGATAGATTGCAATGACGTGGGAACAAATGATATGAGGGAGCAAAACGTGTTTGAAACATTGATTGGGAAGCAGCAGCAGATATTGCTTGCAACTCAAGTCGTTAAGATGATCCTAAAGATCGACGATGTCATCTCCAACTCTGAATACTGATGATGTAATGTGTCGACCTTTGTACTATCCTTAGACCTCTTGTGTCTTTTTTTATTTGTTGGCTTTCTATTAGCTTTTGACATTATTCGACAACGATGTTTTGTTCGCCTTGCAAGCTTTTATTTTAAGAACATCCCCAATTTCTGTTCTAGGTTTTGTTTTTATCCCACTTGTTTATTCGACTCTGAACCAAACAGAAATTCAGTTTTGCAGACAACATAATCCATTTGGATACGTTGTGTTTACTTTTGTTCCACCACCAAATTTACAGAAGTAAAAAAAGTTGATGTTCCGGATATTGTTTACATTTTCTATTCAATTTTTTTTTACAGATGCAGCAAAGTCTCTTATTTTGGTGTACTCTTTTAGAGTACAAACCATATTTGTGTATTAGAGAAAAACCTGTGAACGAGGATAAACGTGCTTATGTATATAAGGAACATGAACTTCCATGACTTACAAAACCCATTTTGACCATTTCCTAAGGTCTTTCTGCACATATATAAACTGTCCTAAGATCTTCCAACTTTGTTGCGTATGGGGTAAGGCCAAGTACCGAGATTCCTCCTCTTGTCTTATTCAAATCTCAATTCCTCTTTCTTTCTTCGACTTCACCTGTAATGTTTACCTCTTCTATGTTTCATGAGAATGGTGTTGATCTTTATCATGGCCAACGCTATGAACGGATGGCTTTCCATTCACAGCAACAGAGCCATCAGTTCTTTCTTCTACTTCTGAAAGTTCAATTTTCCCATTACCTTGAGCGACATCAGCTGTATCAGATTTTCCCTCCTGTTCCTGTGCGCTGTCTGTATTTTGATTTGACATAGCTGCTTCAGCTTTCTGCCTAGCCTCTTCTTTTTCTCGACGTCTCTTTGCTTCTTGCTCTTTGAGCAGCCTAAACCTGGGAGTTACACCGATGTGTTAAACAACAAATAGCTTCTAGTAAATGAATGAGAAGCTTTCAGAAAATTTAGTCACCTTTCACCAGGTTTGGGCCCTTCTGAGTTCACTTTTTCACCAATCTTCTCTCTTGGTGTTTTCAGTTCTGAAACTGACTTCTGAACTAGCGGTTCTGAAATAGGCTTCTCAACCTTTTGAGTTTTATCTTCCTTCATGACCAAATTACTGAGCTTCTCCATCGGGTTTTTGGCTCCACCATATTTTTGAAGCCATACTTGCTGCGCTGTGCTCAAAATGTTATTGGTCAACCTGCAAAAGTGAGAAGATAAGCAAGTGGAAAGTTGAATCCCCACCAAAATACACAAAACGAGTTGCTGCTCCTCACCAATAGAGACTTAAACCCGAAGGAACTGATAGTGCAAAATAGCCAATCATCAGCGGTAGAAGCTTCGTCACCGCTTGTGAGCTCTTCATGGCTGGATCATTACTCTGAGACAAGACATGATGATTCGTTACTGGTTGAATTTAGTTTAACTTGAATGAGCTTTGGAGACGCGCACAAATTTACATATGTCTAGTTCCAAAGCTAACTGCTCACTAGACTCGCATACGCCAGAAGATGCTTTACCTGCGCCTGCGAGGACTGCATAATCTGGATGGAGAGATACTGAGAGAAGATGAGCAATAGAGGTAAGACAAGATATGCTAATGTGTCCGACCATCCGAGAGGTGGGTGTCCCTCCTGAGAAATAAATTGAAAATTTGCATACATTAGTAATGAGATACAACACCTTCTCCACTCAACTTCTCTTCGATGAGTTCATTTTAAATCAGTTTATATGCTTGACTAACTAAAGCTACGCAGTGTTACAAGAACTAGGAGTCTAGTCCAGATTCCAATGTTCAAACATCCACGCCACTTAATATCAGAAGTTCAAGATTGGCACTTACAATAAAAGGGAACAACCATGAGATTCCACTGCCGCTCTGTCTTGCAGCAACAGTTGTTGGACCGGCAAGAGAAGGAATCCAGAAAAATCCTTCTGTTAAGAGTCCCTAAAAGTTGGAAACAAGCACCCAACAGACAACTTGTCAGAAAATAATCTCGAAGCATATACATATATAAAAAAGATAAGAATTTCTTTTGAAGGTACCTCATCGGCAACATTAGAGAGGGCTCTATATAGCCCAATCCATACTGGTATGGTGGCAAGTGTGGGGAGGCACCCTAGTAGATAAAAGGAAAATATAGCTTAACTACAAGCTAGAAGAAGCTAAGAAAGAGATCATGTCTCTTGACTAAACTACTGTCTCAAAATCGAAAATCTGAAGCAAACAACTTTACCTGCAAGGGGGTTTATTCCAGCGAGTTTATACAATCTGGCAGTTTCAAGCTGAATTCTCTCCTGCAAACATAAAGAAACAAAAAATTAGGAAGCTCTTTGTTTTACAAGAGGGCTACATTCATAGAAAGTAAAGCTATAATCTTTGGTGTATTCATAAGAATCACTCCACAATGATGAAACAAATAGCTACAAGAAACAGAGATGGATGCAACTATGAATTAGTATGGAATCAGTAAATGCTTTTCTTTTGTACTTCAACAAGGGAATAAAATCCATGTTGCAGTATTAAAGAAATGGTTTTTACCTGATCACCAGCATAGCGTTCCTGAATGGCCTTAATTTGAGGCTGCAAAGACTTCATAGCCATAGCAGACTCGACCTGTACAGAAACAAACCACCACTTCAATAAATAAAATTGAAACTTGGCTCCTAGCAAGTAATAGAAACAAAGTGAAAACGAACCTGCTTTTTCGTCAATGGGAACGTAGCAGCCTTAACAAGCACAGTCAGTAGAATAATCGCAAAACCATAAGAATAAGGTACATGAACAGTTGATAACCCATCTTTCAAAACCTGCATAACAAAACTCCAATTACACACCAACGTCATAGATAGATTTAGAAAAAAAAAGAGAACTTTACCTTGAGAATAGTTTCCATGTAATTGGCGATACCAGAGAACCAATCACTGTTCTGCTTTGTGTTAGTGCCGGAAACAGATTCAAAAGTTTCGGAGGAGGAAACGGCAGCATCAGCGAGAGTGTAGAGTAGACTCTCGGCATGGTCCTTGATCAAATCGAGTGAGAAGCCTGGGTCGTGAAACCCGAATTGAGCAACAAGAGTCCGGCGAGAAGAAGACGAAGGTCTGTTGCTGAAACGGGAGCGGTGGAAATGGAGGACTCTGCCTGTGGAGAAAGATGAGGAGAGGATAAGACTCGTCGGTTTTATGGATAACAAAGAAGCCATCTCCAGCGACTAGTTTTAGGGTTTTGGTTCAGAAGAAAATGGGGAGGATTTGGATTATTTGCAAGTGTTGTTTCTTGCTTCACGTCTCAGTGCGCGAGACCGACCATGAAGTGGAGTAAACAGACTTTGTTTTGTCCTGAAATTTTTTTTATCCTGTCGCTCCCACAAACTTGGGTCAATAATAAATGATTTTTTTTATCACTAAAGCCCAACTAAGGCCTAGTTAAAGAACAGGCCCAAATAGGGTTTAGTTAAATTATAAGCCCAATTTCGCTTTTAATTTTTCTCAGAACTTCCTCGATCCCCAGATTGAGTCCCTTCCTTTCGTCCGTCGTCTCTCAAATCTCGCCGTCGTTTCGCTTCGCCGCCGTGTCTCTCACCTTTCCGGTACGTACTTTTCCGTTTTTTTTTTTAAATTAAGCTATGAATAGACTTAGTGAAAGAGAAATCAAACTATCAATTGGTGTTGGAGGAGGAATCTAAGCTAAATTTGTCTTTTCTCTCTTTCTCTGGATTGTAACAGTGACTTACCGGTGAGTGAATCCGATGATTTACACAGCAATTGACAATTTCTACTTACCAGAGGAGCAGATAAAGAACTCACCTTCCAGGAAAGATGGGATCGATGAAGCAACGGAGACTACACTTAGGATCTATGGGTGTGATCTCATCCAGGAAGCTGGAATCTTACTCAAACTGTATCCTTTTTCGTCTTGTTGGTCTCAGTAAAGCTCAAATGTCACATTACAATAGAGCTTTTGATTTTTCCTTAACTGTTATGTTGTTGAATCTTTAGACCACAGGCAGTTATGGCTACTGGTCAGGTTCTTTTCCACCGGTTCTATTGCAAGAAGTCTCTTGCCAAATTTGATGTTAAGGTACTTTATGGAGTTTTCTTTCTTTGATATCTGTTTTTGAGGCCTTTAAACTTGATAGTTTCAGTATGAAGCTTTCTTTACTAGTGTGTACTGCTGCCTGTAACGATAACGATTTTGGAGTTTATCTTTTACAGATAGTTTCTGCGAGCTGTGTGTGGCTTGCTTCAAAGTTGGAAGAAAACCCTAAGAAAGCAAGGCAGGTCATTATTGTTTTCCACAGGATGGAGTGCCGTAGGGAAAACTTACCCATAGAACATCTTGATTTGTTTTCCAAGGTTAGTGTAATGTTTTTAATATATATCTGTGTTGTGTGCAGGCAAAACGTATAGGCACTACTTTTTCTTTTATCTGTTTTTCTTACTCATTGGAACAGCTTTCTTTTCGAAATGCCTTTTGTTGTTTTTGTATCTCATACTATTCCTATTTATTGGTTTTCTGCAGAAATATTCTGAGTTGAAAGTTGAATTGAGCAGAACTGAGAGACATATATTAAAAGAGATGGGTTTTGTTTGTCATGTTGAACATCCTCACAAGTTCATTTCAAACTACCTTGCCACACTTGAAACACCTCCAGAATTGAGGCAAGAAGCTTGGAACTTGGCTAATGATAGGTAACCTCAAATTTTACTATGTATGTTATTTAGTATGATTACTCGAGTTAGATGTACATCATTGTGTCGATAGGTTTTGAGTAGTGCCGCTGTCTCAATATTTGATCATTACTTTTGTGATATTTTCTTATTTGTTCCCTTGTGATAATGTCTATATATGCAGTCTGCGTACAACCCTTTGTGTAAGGTTCAGAAGTGAGGTTGTGGCTTGTGGTGTCGTGTATGCTGCTGCACGTAGGTTTCAAGTACCTCTCCCTGAGAATCCACCCTGGTGGAGAGCATTTGATGCAGATAAATCTGGTATTGACGAAGTATGTAGAGTTCTTGCTCATCTATACAGTCTTCCAAAGGCTCAGTATATCTCAGTCTGCAAGGATGGAAAGCCATTTACATTTTCCAGTAGATCCGCGAATTCTCAAGCTCAATCAGCTCCAAAGGTGAGATAGACCGCTATCTAAGTTTTTGTGATATATGCGAAAGCACTAGATTATTCTCCATATCATGTTGAGTCCACAGATTACATATTGTGTATGGTTGAAGCAGAGCCGAATACTTATTGTGCGTTTTCTGAGTGTTTGGTTTGAAGTACTTTGTTACTGTGTTACAGGATGTTTCACCGGCAGTTGGCGATGCTGTTGATACCAAATGTGCTTCCGGAACAACTAATAACGAGTCTAAGGATGGAAAGATTACTACACCTCATGAAATGGCTACAAATTCGAAAAAGAGCGATATTGAGTCAAACAGTCTGCCAGTCGTCAAGGATTCGAGGGAGGAAAAAAGTAAAGGAGGAGAGAGTGATAGAGAGAAGGAACGAGGTAGAGAGAGGGACAGGGTTAGTAGGTTACACAGAGACAGAGGCAGAGATTCTGACAAGGAGAGTGATAGGGAGAGAGACAAACTCAAAGAGCGTAGTCATCATCGATCAAGAGATAGACTGAAGGATTCAGGTGATAGATCAAGACATCACTCTTCTCGGGATCGTGACTATCGGGAATCGTCGCACTCATCAAAAGACCGCCGTAGTAGGCACCATTAAAGTCAAATCTTCTTGTTACTAAAGCTTTCTCATCCTTTCGGACAAACCTTAACTCTCTACTTATGTTTAGACATGATAGTCATGTACTTGATTTGTGTCCATGTCACTCTTGAGCGTACTTAATTTAGCATTATGTTGAGGAACCACGTGCATGAGTTAGTTCAACATTTAAACACAGTCAAATGCAGACGCATATACTGAACTTAACCAAAATTATCATTTCGAATCCAAACTGAATTGATTTGATCATTTGTTTTATTTATTTACTAATTTACCTGTTTACTAGGTGTTTTGTCCGTATTTATCGGTCTAAACATTTTATAATTATTTTATTAATACATTTTTTACTAATTAAAAGATTATAGTGATAAAGTATTAATTGTGTTTTATTTTTTGAAACCAATAATATTTATACTTTCATTTAACAATTCTTACATATATTTCTTTGTAATTTATGTTCACTATTAAAAATAATTTTAAATCAGATAATATTTTTCAATTATATAAAATTAAGAAGATGATTTGATTAATATTTACTTATGTATTTTTTAGTATTTTTTAATTGTTAACTTTTTTATCAGAATATATTTTCAGATACATCACAATATATATCGAAATTATCTTATTTAAAAAGATATTATTTAGATTTTGGATAATTCTTATGATTATTATTAATTTTAGTTACTTATCTAATCAAAATAATTTTATTTTATTTTATTTTATATGTAATTTAAATATTATTTTTATTAAATGTATAAACGATATTAACCACTCTAATTTTTAATGTGAGTGTTATTGGTTTCAGAAAATAAAACACAATTAATACTTATCATTATAATCTTCTCCGAACCAACACTTTCCTACCTTTATCGACCGGAATTTGAGTAACAGTTGGTCTCGCCCGTAGTGGTTTAAATGTTGACGTCAAACCGGTGGTTACAAAGTCAGTCCCACCCACGTTTTGTTGTCCGCATCAATGTGTGAGCTTGATGATTCACAGTCTATGTTTATATCTGAAACCAAGCCCCATTAAACTAAAATTAAGTCTTAACACATATCCACTTACATATCAAATTCAATATTTTGAGCTACTTAAATTTTCAAATTTGATTACGAACCAGCTGCATTATAAAGGATTATGATGGAACAAATGAGGAGAAGGCAAATTAAAGAAGCCTGAGCCATGTTTGTTTCTTTGGTCACCAAGAGACGATAATCTGCTTCTCATGGGCTTATTTATACGTGCATGGGATATATTGTTTTTACATCTATAATCCTTATACTTTAAAGAAAACATTTGATAACCTGCACTTTCTAATTGTTCAATAACATCGACGAAGACAGAAAGAAATCATATAGTGGTTTCTCAATAAAATATTTCAGAGTTATGATTTAGGGCTCCGGATGTAAACTCTTTTCAATGAAATTTAATCTTTAAAACACACACTATGCTTTCTTTTTAAGCGCATTATCTATATTTGAATATGATCAAAACGTGGGTCGAGGTAATGTCACAAAATGTACATTTATAAAGACTGAATAATTCGATGGCAACAAGTTAGTACAAGAATGAGCGACGAGGTTCAAAATCCAACTGCTAGTGATAAAGGAATGTTCAAAGTAATGATAGAATGGTAGACTTAGTCGACTGCGGTAGGGTTGTCGTCAGTTGTTCAAAGTATCAATCATACATTATGTGGTACCGACTAATGAAACCAACTATGTTGGGAAATAGTTTACATTAATTCATACAACATTTATGTTATAATAGAAAGAATACGTAAGACAGCTTTTCCGCAAATTTTAAAACAAAAGGGAGCTAATGGAGGTACTTTAGCGCAATCAAAATCAGTTAATTCCTGCCCCACTTCAACCTTAGTTACTCCCAAGGAATTAATGTACTGCAAGGCGTACATATGGGTGTATGGGAAGCACCAATGACCCTCCTCAGCGTTCTTGTTTGATCCCAAAAGAGTAGGATTAACTCAAAGACACAAGTGCCAGGCAGAGAAGAGACATTAAACATCTTCCCAGACATAACGTAAACAACCTGAGCTTAGCATATCAGTTGACACAAAACACCAGCAAAGAAGATGAGTGAACAGATTTTTTATGAAACCAACTACAACGTGAGAATTAGTGATACACCTCAACATTGCTTCTTCAATTCCAGGAGGTGACGTCTCCCAGGGAGAGCACCTATGAATCTATCGCATGATAGATATAACTGAGATATTGGTCTAGTAGACCATGCAGCACTCAATACCTACTGACCCATAAAGTTCCCAACGAGAGACGGATCGAGTGCCGTAATAGATTAGTCCCTCAGTTCTAGCCGATTAGGCTCCAGAAGTTGTTGAATGTAGTCAAGGTTTAAGCGGTTGGATAGATAAGACAAGGATTTACTAAATTTCGGAAGAAAATATGCACAAAAGATACACATGATAGTCATGTGCTTGATTCGTGTCCATC